TTGCAAAATATAGGAGGTAACATTTTGAAACTTATTCAGTCAAGTCAGTATTACTCTGATACCGAAACCAAAGTTCACAAGAAAAGAAAACCACAAATATTCCTTATGAATATAGACACAAAACTCTTCAACAAAATACTAGCAAACGGAATCAAGCAACTTATAAATGGGTTATACACTACCTTTAAGTGGACTTTATCCCAGGAATGTAAACTTGGCTTAACATCCAAAAATCAGTGAATATAAGCTACTGTATTAATTTTTTAAAAAGGACAAAAACCACCGGGTCATCTTAATAGATGCAAAAGCACATACATCCTGTGCTAAAAAATACAAAACTCTGTCCTTATTTGCCAGTAACTAGTACCTATAACATCTCTTGTCATTTTGGATAACTTAAAGTTCTGAGAATTATAAGTATTTGTATTAGTTATAAACCTATACAGTGTCTATTTCCATATATGTCTATTTCCATACGTCTGCCAACTTTAGGCTGTAGGTGTAGGTTCATCAAACATTGTATTTTCACTGAATATACCCAAACTAAACTGATTATTTTTTCTATAAAACCTTCTTTTGTGTTTCTTGTCTTGGTTTATTTATTTTATTTTATCTTTTTTTAGGCAAGGTAACCCTTGATTGACCTCACAGATTGCGAGGACCTTGTCAGCTTACAATCCCTTATTTTTTTATTTTTTACACCTACAGCATCTGGTCTTCCTAGTACTAACCAGGCCTGACCCTGCTTAGCTTCTGAGATCAGGCGGGATCCAGTTTGTTCAGGGTAGCATGGCCATAGTCTCTTGTCTTGGTTTAGATCCTATATTCTAGTTCTTACTTACCTCTTCCATCTCTCTCCCCGCTATATGCTGGCCTTCGGCCAGTTCCTAGAACACTGCAGGATCTTTCCCACTCAGAAAACTTTGCACTTGCCGTTTTGGTGGCCTGAAGAATATTCTCCATCACGTTCTGGGTCTTTTTCCTTTTACATGTTTCGACTGGAAAGCTACCCCCTTAAAGAGGTCTTCTCTGATCACTGTATGTCCCGAAACCCCCTCCTACCTCAGAAACTCTGTTTTACTTTTCCACAGAACATATTACTATCTGATATTATCCTCTTTGTTTAGTTATTTATTTTCTGTCTTTCCACACTATCCTGTAAGCTCAATGAAGGGACGTGACCTCAAATATCTTATGACCACCGTACCTTAACTATCTAACATAATTTCTTAATATTCATTGAATGAGTGACGGAATCAAGAAAGTAAGCAAGCAATCTCTGACAATATGCGTTCAGAGGGAACGCTTTCTCAGTGGTGCCATTGTGGCAGGATTGTTTCTGACTTGCCATTTTCCTGGGGCTTGACATGTACCAAGGCTTAAGTAATAGAAAGAGACATTTGGCAAAGCAACTAAAAGCAAGGAGATGCTTGTGCCATCATAGCCCATATAACATATACTGACGCGGCCATATTGACAGAGTGAGTAGTTCTAATCATCTGGTAGATATCTTTTCTGCAGTATCCGCCGCACTCCACCTCTGTTCCTCCATAAAAATAAAGTGATTGGAACTGAGAAGAGGTAGGACTCTACGGGAGGGAAGCTGAGGATTAAAGGAACCCATGGAGCTTGGAGAAAAGAGAGAAGAGAAGGCCTGAAGGGACAGAGTTCTGTTCCCCATGGGTGAATGGATTCCATCATTATCGACCTAACTCGCAAAAGCTACAACCCGAGTCATCTAGAATCCTTCCTTAAACTTCCCCTTTTCCTTAACCGTCATGAAAAGCCGTCAGTTATAACATGTTCTACCTCTGAAATCTCCTCTCTGTCCCACTCAGTTCAGCCCACTGTCCACTACTATATATTATGCCCTAAGGGTCACATACTGCAAACATTGTGATGGCCTTTTAGCTGTTGTCTTGGCTTCGGCTTCACTTCTTCCCACCAGTCATCCATACTGCAGCTAGAGCGAGCCTTCCAAAGTATATATCTGGCCATGTTATCTCTCTGCTTTAAGCAGGTCTGCAATAACTTGTAGCCTATGGACCAAAAACCCTCACTTCTCAGTGTGGGCAATCAGGATGTGTTATAACGTTATTTCAGCTTTTCTCTAGCCTAGAAGTCCAGGAATACCATGAAATCCCCTAACACTCCATGTTTTCATTTGCTTTTTGCCTTCGCTGTGTTCTTTTGCTAGGAATGACCTTTCATGTATGCAAGGTGGCCTCCTCTAAGTAACGTCTACTTTCTGAATCCTTCTCCAACACTCCGCTCTAAGCAGAGGCCACAGCACCCTCCTCTGGTTTCATTTAACACTTGTTCCACTAGTGTGAATGCTTTTCATGTTCAGGCTTGTACTACGACTGTCGACTGTCGTACGCTCTCTGTCTCCCCCAATAGATTGTGGGCACCCTGATGGCAGTTACTGTGACTTATTAACCTTTGTTTACCAGTACAAGGTCAGATTGAGAGCAGACACCGAATCCGGTAGTTTTCAATTTTTAAAAATTATTTTCTCCCTTTTCTTTTTCTTTATCAGTTCATGCCTTTCCTGCTTTGACCTCCATCATATGAGAAGAGAATATTTTTTTTTCTCCACAGAGCCCTCTGTTCTCATGTACTATTTTCAAAGAAATAAAACCATTGCTTTTTGCATAAAGCAAGTTGCCACTCTGGGCCCAGTGACATTTCTAAGGTACTGGTAGCTGCACAATTTATTGTCACATCTGTACTAGGACATGTTAGGATTTGGGGGCTCATATTATCTGCTCGAGGTACTCAGCTTAAGAGATCCAGCAAGAAATTTCTTTCTTAGGGGTGCAAAACATCTCCCATTCCGTACCCTTTGCCTTGAACAGACCTGTTCTATTTGTTACATTGTCAAACTCTTAGATATATTGAGCAGAACATTGCATCGTCCTTTAAACATAGGAAGTTACAACCATCTACAGAGCAAAGATAAGAAGACATATACAGATGATTTTCTGAAGTAGTGGAACCCCAAGCGTATGTACTAAAGATGGAAGGTGCTGAGGAAAATGAGAGGACAAAGGCCTTGTGAAATTACATTTCACTTAATAGTCTTAAGAATAAATTTGCGATAAGGGCGCGAGAAGAATACTGAGGAGATTTCCCTTTCTTCTTGGTGATAGCAGTTTAAAGATCTACAATTCCAATTGGGAGCCCTAGATAGCCCACAGGCAGCAGAAGATGCTATGTTTCCAAGACTGAATCACAACAAATAAAAGACCATAGCCATTGGTGAGAGAAAGTCTATAGACCAGAGTTTGCAAATTGATGGTTTGCAGATGTGATTTGCTTAATATGTACAGTGTTTATAACTTTTAAAATCACTTGCCAAGGTTTGAAATTTGGGAAATGTCACATAAAATTCCAGATTTGTTTATTTATTGTGTTTATGATTTATTTTTTTTAAATTGAACCTGAAAGTTCAACAGGTTTTGTGATTGAATTCATACACAGACTGTTGCTGTTGGGAAATGCGATTTTGCCTTCAGCAACAAACCTTTCCAGGCATCAAGATATTTTATAGATACAAACCTTATTTAAAATGTCTATTAATCAGGGGAGAAATTATATGTTGAACTAGAAGTATTTCTGTCAGTGTGTTGAAGAAATGCCTGAAACCAATCAGGGTGTATTATGTGGAAAAGTTAGACTTCCTGTGGTATTGTCTTCTGTAGCTTATGAGAGCACAGATATAAAACATGCCATAGGGTTATGTGTATTTTTTCCTGATTTCAATGAGAATTTTGATGTGAATGAAGAATTTGTTGGCATGTTGCTCATTACACCCACATTAGGAAATGGTTTATTTGAGTATATTCAAAAATGTCCTTAGAAGTGTAATATAGGAAGATCACAATTAGTACATGCGAGGAAGGGTTAATGTCCAACTGTTACGAAATTTACGTCCAATGTTGCAAAGTTTTGTAGGGACACGGAGTTTGATTGTTCATTGGTAGATTCACTAGGAATTATTTTCTTTGTGGTAAAATGTTTAGAGTTTATTATGGACATAGCAGCTGCCATAGCCTCCACTGACTTGAACGACAGATAGCTCAAAACTTGGATGAAATGAGTGAGCAGTGTGGCTGGCGGTCAGCTTGCCTTTAACGAGCCTAGGTGCCTGAGTTAGGGCCAGGTGCTCACCCTGAACATAAAACCCACTCTGCCAAGAATCAATCCACGTCTGGAAAGAAAGCGAGTCTCTTCCTGTAAGATACTGACTAAAATGAAATAACCTCACCCCTCGTTCCCTCGCCATTCCCCTTACCTATATGCCTGTTAAAACTAATCTCTACTAAATTCTGTACTGGACATTGGAATTCTAAATATAAGACTTGACAGTAACACCTTGCTGCAGAAAAAAAAAAGTGGTAGGTTTCTGGTTCGCAAATCGAAGGGGTGGTAAATGCCAAAAGAAAATTATAATTTTTATTTATTGCTACTCTCAATTTTTCATTTTTTTTTAATTTAAAATATCCCTAGTACAATTTTTTTTTTTTTGCTGTATCTCATATGGGCACCCTATAATTAATTAAATAAATTTTCGTTATATTTCCGGCAGTTAATTTTTCTTACAACTAGCCTGCTTTATTTATTTAAGACACCTGTGTAGCTCCCGTAAGCACTTGAATTTGTGACAAGTGCATTAGACAATACTTTAGCCATTCCTCCCTTGCCCCTACTCTCTACTCTCCAAAGAAAAGTTTAACAATCTATTGGCAGTCCAAAAGATTGTGGGTCAGTGAGGGAACAGACCACTTTGGGTTCACTTCTGTGTACCCAGCATAAACTATAGTAGTTATACGATGATTGTTTATTAGATGGATGTATAAATGTACTTCCAAGAGAGAACACATACCAAGAAATCTTTTGAGATAGAAGTTGTATTTCAATCTCATGCAAATTTAGTGTCAAGGATAATCATTTTTCTTTTCCTTTAACTTCTCCTTCTCGACCTTTTTCTGCCTTAGATGCCTATACAACAGCCGAAGTGGTTTATTCTTGGACTCTTGGGAAGAACAAGTCTGTGGAAGTAGCACAGGATGGCTCTCGCCTGAATCAGTATGACCTCCTGGGCCATGTCGTTGGGACAGAGATAATCCGCTCTAGTACAGGTATTTATTTTATTTAACAAGCATTTTGCAACCTGTGCCAGTCACTGTTCTAAGTGTTTATAATAACTTGTGTAATCCTCGAAAGAGTCTTGTGATGTAGGTACTATGATCATGAGGAAACTGAGGCATGGAGGTATTCGGTAATGGGCCTGCGCCATGTCACAATTATACAATTTCAGAGTCAAGACCTGAACCCTGGCAGGTCGGCTCCAAGCCCGGGCTCTTAACCACCATGTCCCGCTGTCTTTTGGGGAGTGGGTGTAGACGGTCAAGGGACTGTAGCAGAAGAGAAGGCAAAGGGAAGCCATAATGATGGGATTGATGAACTTTGAGCCTAAAAAAGTTTCATGGAGACATTTGCTGAACTCTGCCAGTGCTGAGGTGGCAAGTTAATAACCCCAAGAGAGGCCAGGTGCACAGCCAGGAGGTCCCGGGATGAGGCATGAAATTATTTTAAGTGAATCGCCCATCTCAGAAAGAAGTCTGGTAAAACTTTCCAGGTCCTCTCAGTTGCTCATTCTTGGATACTGGTAAATTGAACACAGAATATTGTTCTGTAGCCTCAAGTCCTATTTAGAAACTGACTAGGTGCAGGGGTGAGGACAGAGTCGTCCTCATTGCCGACTGGCCTTAGAGCACTTTGCAAATTGGAGTATATCTTGGGCCCACATATTTTGAAATATATACATATATATATTGTATATATTGAAAAACATA